ACAATCTGACTCCAGAAAGTAGATTTTCTTTCCTCTGAGACCGTTACATGCAGTTAAAAGAAACAAGTAATCGAATTACCTTTCAGAAATTAGAAATTTTGGCTTTACATCTAATGTTAAACTTTTGTCCAAAGTTCCCTGCGAGGCTACTACTGAGCAGATGCTTTTAGGTATGAGGAAAAAAGGGAAAACAAAGAAAACTCTAGCCAAAGAATAAAAGCAAAATTAAAATAGCACAAAGCACATGTGCTGTGGCAGGAGACACTGGAATAGATGATCTTTTATGGTCCCTTCCAACCCAAACCGTTCTATTATTCTATTATATTAAAGCATAACTTGCAAATTAAATAACATGGCAAGGAATCGCTGTGGTCACAAAGTGTATTTTGCAAGAGTTTTGTGCATCAAGGTGCATTTCAGTTTTGTCTTAGTATCTGAATCTCAATGTAACTGAAAAGACTCAATCTGTAGTTAAACCTGTTTTATTCCTGTGTCAGCCCAATGATTTCATTTATATTACCTTTGATTTACAACATCAAATGATTGAATTTCCACTGGTTGAAAACCCGGTATCATTCTAAGACTCAAGGGAAGCCATCCCAATCTGGAAAGTGGGGATCAGGGAATAAATGGTTGCAATTATCCAACCTCCGTGTCTATGTCATACTATAATTTATAATAATTTATAAAAATCATTTCTAAAGGCCCTGACAAGTCTTTACGAGCAAAGCTTGCATGGAAGAACTTCATGATATGGTTGAAATACCATAAGTAGAGCTGGGACTTTTTTTCACTCCAAATTTTATTCCATTAAAAGTATAGATTTGGGTTGACTGGGACAATTCACAAACTGAGGGAAAAGTTCATGACAGCATGCAGTTTTCAAAGAAAAAAGAATCAGAATGTTTTACGACTACCTTGTTCATACACCTTTAGCTGTCTTAGCACTAGTGGTTTGGAGTAAATAATATTTTTAAAGCCTTTTTTTTTTTTTTCAAATAAGCATTGAAATATATGGTTCTATGGTGAATCCGGCAACTATTTACCTACCTGTATTTCTGCGGACCTTATTACAGTAGCATATAAATGCTTGACATGCTTTGCTCAAAAGCTGATTTCTAGCAGCAGTAGATGGCTGGTGATTTCTGTGTAATTTTATGCCCCCATTACCATAGTATTTCATGTCCTCATGACTATTAATGGATTTTGCCTCTTAACACTACAGTGAAATCAGCAAGTATCATTCTCCCTCTTTGCAAATGGGGAATTGATGAGAAGCATAGATTAAGTGACTTACGTGAAAACCACAGGAAGGCTGTGCTGCTGCCAGGAATTGAAATCAGGTGCCATGGATGCCAGTTCAGTCAAGTTCCCCATATATTAAACTTTGTAAGAGATTTTTCCTAAAAATAATTGGAGATATTTTTCCTCCTTGTAGCATGCAGAACTGTTTTACACGTGATGAGTGCATCTCTAAATTGGAGGTACATTGATAATAATTGAGTAATAGATATTATGAAATATTTTGAATGTACAGAAGAGTTAAGTTCATCTTTTAATGACAGCTCTTTATGTGTTACATGTCTAGCATAAGTTAGTTTTCTCAGCTTCAACTGTAGCACTTCCACAGGGTGATTCATTCTACGTATCTTAGACGTTGCATGTAAGTCAGGATAAATTCCCTACTTGGGATCTTGTTTCTTCTCATTCAATATATTTGGAGCCTGTATGAGTTGTTTAGGTTAGATGTTTAATTTTTGAAGGGCTAAAATTGTGTGAGGTGGTTCACTGTCTAAGCTATTTAGGTACGTAAACCTTGGATTCAAAAATAGCTTAGGCCTGGTGACTTAGGAGCAAAATTATTGGAACTGAAGCACCTACTGTGGGAGTCACCTAATTTCAGGTGTCAATATCTAGCAAATTGTCTGATCTCTCTTTATAGATAATAGAACAGGGCACTCCAGGACTCAGTTCTTCTCATGCTAATGTACAAATCTAAAAGAGAAAAGATGAAATGCGTCGTAGTTCTGCTGTTAATTATAAAAGGAGTCTAAGCAACTAGTGCAACTGTAGGCATCATCACTGCCCAAATCCAAACTAAAATGAACCTTAGTTTAAATCTCCAGTTGAGAATAAGAGGCAAAGGAAACCAGTGGTGGTTGTCTGCTGAAATATCCATAAGTATCTCATCCAGACATGTGATCAAAAATGCATCACAGGGTCCAAAGACATTTGAGGGCTTTTGAAAATTGCCTTGCTTTAAGCATGTTCATTGCATTGGTACTGTGTGATATGTATAGCTGTGGTATATAGGAAAAAGGCTAATAATAATCTGTTGCTATATGCAAATAGTTAATTAATAATTCATGAGTAAGTGTGTTGGTCCTTTACAAGCCTTTTATAAATGCACCTTTAGTGTAAAGTGAGTAATTTTGTTTTGGGCTCCAGAATACAGCATATAAATCCACATATGTTATGTATGACTGTGTTATGCCAGCAAACATATATATCTTCTGCTACTACATGTTTTAGTTGGTTGCTGAGTTTTAAGTGAGCTAGTGAAAGGCACATGAAAAAAGAAATTGGAAAATGACATCTTATAAATGTATCTGGACTTTGAAGGTAGAAAACAGGCTGGTAACTAGATGTCAAGATGTGCAAACGCATTTAGTAGGATCTTTCCTGTCTTCAAATTGATCATTTGTTTGGCTTTTATAGTGTGAAAATCACTGATGACAGTGCTGTACTGATTTGGCATGAGTCCTGTGCTGAACCAGTATAAACTGTTGAATTGGTTGGACAGAATACAACGGCTTTATCCACTTTGCCAGTAGGTGGACTGGACATTGCTTTCTGTAACTTTCTCTAACAAGACAGATTGATTCCCATCTTACCTATATTCCATTTTTGTGTATCAAAAAAAAAAAAAAAGAGAGGAGACAGGAGGAATCTTTCCATGCCCTTTTATGCTAAGTTAATGACTGGAAAGCATATCTTTTCTTTCAGCTGAGAATTTATAATGGAAATGCTGACAGAATCTCAGCTACGGTGTCACTAGTGTTTGCCTCCGTAATGAGAAGCTGCTAATAATCCCACATCCAGCACAATGTTCCCTCTAAACAGGGTAAGACAATCGCCGTCCTCACCTTCAGGTCCAGTCTCTGCCCTGAAGAAAAATCAGATCAGCAGAGAGTTTTGCAGCTGTGGTTACCTGTATTTCTGCTCAAGGCCAGCAGAACAGGTCAGAGCACTCAGCATGTATTTAGCATGAGGATCACAAACTTTACTGAAAATTGACAGAGTCCAACCTTAAATATTTATGCCATTACTCTAGGTTTGAGCATAATAATAACATAGGAAAACACCAGTTGACTTGTTGAGCCCCAGCCTCAAGGAGACTTTGCAGACATGTCTTGTACATTTCTCAAAATACTGGTATCTTCCAGATCCAAGATCCTTAATTCAGGATTTCTGCCTGCCATTCATATACTCAGTGGTATTTTGAAGGCTTTCTTTCCTTTTGGATTTTGCTTTTCTTTTGAGGGGGAGTTTGGAATTTTTTTTAATTGACAAAGGTGGATACTTTCAGTTTGGTAAACTTTATTTTTTTCTGGGATGCAACACTTTCATGTCTATATATTAGGGTGTTTTAAAAAGTCATATACTATTTTTAAAAAGCCAGTGTAACTTTATATGTTATGGCAACATTTGCAGAAGAATCTTTTTAAATGTACACAGAAAACATTCAGTGAAGCCCTGGTCTTTGTAATTTAAAATTCTTCTTTGTATCCTTTGCGTATGAGGTTTTGGTCCTATTTCTTCCGTTTTCCTTGTGGGATTTCTTTGGAGAGGGGTGCAGATGGGGAAGATAATTTTTTGTTTGTTATCCCCTCCAAAAAAAGGGAACAGGATTTTCATGAGCAGTTATGAGAGAAAAGTTTATGAATACTGTTGTGAGTGCTATAACATAAAGTTTTGTTCCTTTAGCATACCATAAAGTCATTCTGCTTGCAGAGAAAATTCATACTACTACCTTCTTCTCTGGCATTTTGGATTTTCCTGGTTTCTTTGGAGCTGTTAGGACCAAATGCTTTCATTTATTTCACTCTACAGTAGACCAGATTTATAGGTGAATCTGAAGCCTGGTTTACAAAGGTTATATAGCCACTAGTGTGGAACTGCACCAACACAGAACTCTAGAGCGGATGTGATTTACATGTACGCAGCATGATTTGTACTTGCTCAGCTTAACTCCATCTGAAAGCGGGCTAAGTTAGACCAGGGAAAGTTATTGCAATGGCATCAGTCATTTTAGAGTGGGCATTTTTGTCAGTGAGGATACAGTGAGCATGTTATTCAATATTGCTGTGTGTCTATGCCTCCATCATTAAAATGGAGGCATTTCCATAGCCTTTTAGGCTATCAGGATGGAACTAGATGAAAACTGCAAAAACTAAGAAAATTTCCTGGGAGACCCTGGAAAAAACTACACCTAACATTGAAATAGGTGTATATCAGAGAATTATTTTGCCAATCAGTTTCATGAAATTTATTTTGAAAATAAAGTTGGCTGGGCAATTTTTTACAACCCTTGAACTCCAAAACATTATACTGTACTTCTGCCAGTAGATCCTTGGAGGGTTTTGTGGGTTTCTTTTCAATCTGTATATAGCATTTATCAGTATCTGTTGTTGGATTATATTTATGATGTTTACAGTAACTTTTTTATAGCAATATAAGAGTTCTTGAGGTTACTTACAGAAACAGTCTGGTGGTGAAAATGATAGCTGCAAGTCAGAGAATGATGCATGTGATGTGAGCTGGAGGGGAGTGACACCCCATTTAACGACACTGCGAAATTTTAGGCTTTTGACAAATAACCTGAACTTGGCATGCGAGACATTAGAACAGTTCATTATGTGGGATAGATTCAAGCTCAAAGTTTGTGGGGTTTTTTTTGTGTGCCGTTGGAAGTTTAACACCAGTCTGTTTTATTGTAGTACAACCGCTATCAGCGCTATGGGGCCGAGGAGTGCGTGCTGCAGATGGGAGGAGTGCTGTGTCCAACTCCCGGCTGTGGAGCAGGTTTGCTTCCTGAACCAGGAGTGAGGAAAATTGTATGTGAACCAGGCAATGGAATAGGCTGTGGGGTAAGAAAATTCATTTTCCTACTAGTGGTGTGGGAAACAATTGATATTGTATGATGTTAGAATAAGGGGGGAAGTGGTTTTTTTCCTTTTCGATCAGTGACCCTGAATTGCCCTTCATACCAGAGTGGGATACTGTAGCTCAATATACATTTTAAATATAGCACCATGGCTTAGGAATGATGACTTCATCGTGTAAACTATGTCCATTCCAGAATTCTTTGCTTTATTTGGTTTAAGAAGTTGCTGAGTAGATACAGTAAGAAATTGAACTGTGCAAATGACAATCCAAATGCACTTTGACTTCTTTCTCCTAGCACTCAGCAAAAACAAACAGGATCTTGAGCAAACCATTCATTATTAGTAGCACCAACTTTCTTTATAAGTCGTAGAAAAAGGAGAGAGAATGACCAGTCTGTGGTGCTGTAGTGACATTGGTTATGCATTTTAAGATACATGATGAAAAGAAATAGAGAAATATTTTTATTTTCTCATAAAAATTGTTTTTAAGCAGGGGGACTGCACAATTAATGGTGAATTTCTGGAAAACAAAAACAGATGATAATTGAAAATGTTTTTGTGAAGAGGTTAAATCATATGGATCAGTGATTTTTTGAGGGAAGTGAAATATGTAGAGAGAAATCTCTATATAAAACAACTTATTAAATGTTAGGTCAGAGTGACTAACTGATGTTTGTACTAAGTGACTTTTTCCATGGTCAGTATTATTACCAAATTCCATGCAGGCTATGAGAGAAGAGAAAATATCTATATTTATAAAATATTATCATGCTCTTGCTGTTGTCTTTCTTGTGGAAAATGCACTTTTTATTGCAGTTTTGATGTTGCCCAAACTGTTACCATGAAGAATAATTGTTTGCCGAACTAGGAAGTTGCAGTAACTTGTCTTCTGTGAGTAGGTTAGCATCTGTCGACCTTGGTAAAACTTCCTATCTGTCCATGCAGTGGTGCATGTAAAACAGAGTACTCCCCAGACTCACTGAGCAGACATAGGGTTATAAAATAAAGCAGAAGGTGGGAAAGTAATAAGAAACAAGACCAAGTAAACAAAAAGAAATGCCTCTGGATTAACTATTAGGGATTGGTTAAAAAAGGTAAAATCACAAATAATTTTTACTCTGCTCTCTGCCTTGATGTGATGAAAATCAAACTGTTTTGCAGCTTCATTCATCATCATTCTGAATCTGCAAATGCCCTGTAAATAAAGTGTACATAGCATAAAGGATTGATGTATTGCCTGGTTTAACAAACTGCTCTGTTTCCTTTTATGGACTTGGTGCTGTGCTTGCTAGTGACCAGATCTGCAGCTTTGAGTTTAACCTCACCCTTTGTTTTGGATTATGTGATGTCTTGAACATTAAGGGGTACAATTCACTGAGGCTGAAATGAGAAGAAAGAGGCTGGTCTGCAAGCCAAATTTTGGTAGCATTAAGGCCCTCCCTCAGAATCTATAAAGGAACAGGGTGAAAATACATGTCTGAATCTTTCTTTGCACCCTGACAAATGATAACCTCAAGGAAGATTTGACACAGATTTCCTGTGGTGAGGGTCCTAGCACTGAAGTCAGCTGCTGGTGAGAAAGCTGGCTGAAGGTAACGATCCACCTGCAAGGGCACCAAGACAGTTAGGAAAGCTATTTATTTCTACTCTGTTTTCTGTAGTCACTTTGAGTGTTTTCTGTTCAGAAAGTTAAACTATGGTGGGTTTTTTCCTAGACAAAACTTAGCCTTTTTTAGTGTGAAGGCCTTTCACTCTTCTTTGTGGAATCCAGGAACATCCACTTCAGAGCTCTGGGTTCTCTCACAAGTGTACACAATGATTTACAAGCTCAAAGAAAGGCCCAAGATGAAGAACACCCCTTTTGTCCATCCAAATAAAGGTAGCAAAAGATGCCTTGCAATACTTACCTGTACAGCTTAGGTCAGAGACTCATGCCTTGTTGAAGCCAGTAAGCAAAGAAGTAAGGAAGGCAGCGTGAATCTGGAGATTCTCTATGAATATCTATGTCATCCTTTAGAATCATAGAATCGTTTAGGTTGGAAAAGACCTTTAAGATCATCGAGTCCAACCGTTAGCGTAACACTGCCAAGTCCACCACTAAACCATGTCCTCGAGCACCACATCTACACATCTTTTATATACCTCCAGGGACCCAACCACTTCCCTGGGCAGCCTGTTCCAGTGCCTGACTACCCTTTCAGTGAAGAAGTTTTTCCTAATATCCAACCTAAACTTCCCCTGGCGCAGCTTGAGGCCGTTTCCTCTCGTCCTGTCACTTGTTACTAGGGAGAAGAGGCCGACCCCCACCTCGCTACAGCCTCCTTTCAGGTAGTTGTAGAGAGCAATAAGGTCTCCCCTCAGCCTCCTCTTCTCCAGACTAAACAACCCCAGTTCCCTCAGTCGCTGCTCATAAGACTTGTGCTCTAGACCCTTCACCAGCTTCGCTGCCCTTCTCTGGACATGCTCCAGCACCTCAAGTTGTACTTTAGATATGCAGAGTCTCTTTTGGGGTATTTGGACCTCTGTCTTTGAGTAAAGTTCAGAGTTGATAACATATTGCTAACAGCAGAAGTTATATCTGACATCAATGGTCTGTTATTCACCCAAAAGCCCTTGTAAAGAAATAGTTGTCTACTGCACAGAAGAAACTGATGGTTCAGGTCTGAATTGCAGTATAAGGGTAGCTAACAACTGTCAAGTAGATGAGGATTTTGATTTATTGATTAAATGGATCAAGGGAGGGAGGAGGGATAGGTTTTCAAGAGAAAGTTGAGACAATAAAATGAACAGGTAACTGAGCCAGGCTAGGATACAAACATTTTGCCGTCCTCAGTTGCTTTCTCTGGTATGTGAAATGAGGAACTAGAATCTCTTTTTGTAAAGTCATTGCTATCAGTGTCAAAGCTAAATGTGAGTCTCCGAGAGAGTGCTCTTAATTTGCTAAAAGGGCCTTTGGGAAAGTTAAAGATGGTGGATTTTGCTTTGTCTCAGGAAATTTGGAAACAACAATATGTGGGGCCGAGAGATGGCCTGGTAAATATGTAGACAGAACTGTACCAAAAAGGTGAGTAGAGAGGTTTAAATTTAAGCATCCCCATATGTACCCTCTGTAGTCAGGCACTGCTATCTATTCAGGCTTTCAGGCAAAGAAATAGGACAAGAAGAGAGATTTATTTTGACTTGAAAAGTAGCATGCAGATATCTTTTTAATGATTATGAATAGTCCTCACCCAAAGCCACATTGTGGTACCACTGACTGACCTCACTCTTGCCTAATCTTTCATATTTTTTATCATTAGCCATAAATATATTAATCGATTTACCAAGATATTACCATTATACACTGTTGTTCTACCTTCATCACTATGCATCAGACCTATGTTACTAACTTTTATTGCTCAGATATAAAATGTTGACATATTTAATATGAGAAAACAGCAACAAAACATAGAAGACAGTACATATTGTACCAGCTGGCCTGGGTACAGGAAGAACAGTGGTAATCAAGCCATACAAAAGCTCTATGAATAAAACATTTTTGTCTTGTTTTATATTATACTGGCATATTATTTCCTACATATTAAAGAAAAGTTTGAAGTTAAAAGCAGGTTAGAATGGAACTTCAAAAGGGACTATACTACTTCTTTATTAAAAAGTATGCCTTGGTTTATACACATACAGCTCATCTGTCTTGCAAAACGTCCACTGTCAATATCTTTCAGTGGGATGATAACTGACTAATGTGTGATCACATCCCAGCCCTTGCTCCACAACTGTATAAACATTTTGCAGCATGAAAGGAGGCTGTAGCGAGGTGGGGGTTGGTCTCTTCTTCCTAGTAACAAGTGACAGGACGAGAGGAAACGGCCTCAAGCAGCGCCAGGGGAAGTTTAGGTTGGATATTGGGAAAAACTTCTTCACCGAGAGGGTAGTCAGGCACTGGAACAGGCTGCCCAGGGAAGTGGTTGAGTCCCCATCCCTGGAGGTATTTAAAAGACAGGTAGACGTGGTGCTTAGGGACATGGTTTAGTGGTGGACTTGGCAGTGCTAGGTTAACAGTTGGACTCGGTGATCTTAAGGGTCTTTTCCAACCTTAACGATTCTATGGTTCTGTGATTCTATGAATATCAGGTGACCTGTCCCTTGGAAGGGGGTGAGATGGGAGATCAGGGGTAGTGGAGACAGAGCCTCTGTCTGTCTTTTCTCCTTGAGTTTACTCATTCCTAGCATAGTCTGTATAAGAAGAAGAATGTATTTCCAGAGATACTCTGTGGTTTGATAATCCCTTGCAGGGGGGCCTGACTCTTGAAGCTATAGCCAGGTTCATGGAGGTCCTGAGACCACTCTAAACTATCTTAAGGTCTCGGTGACAATTTAAATGGTCTTAGGAACAAGCTGTCATAATTGATGTTTTTCTGGCCCTTTATTCGGATCCCCTAATATGAAACTCTAGTCCGCAAGTGAGTACTCAACCTTAGTGTATTAAATGTGCAATGATAAAGGAGTTTTATAGCCTTGCAAAGGGAGCACAAAATTTGGGGTTATTTCACCTCTTTTACACCATATTTACTGTTCTGTAAGCATAATGCCATTGAAGAACATCAAGATTTCACAAAAGATGTGTTCCCTTCTAGGACAGGTGAAATTTTAAGGCTGCAGACTGCAAGAGGTCCCTGAAAAATCAATAGATATAAATACCATGTCTTCCTTATAAATAGAATTCCTAGGCTGTTATATTACGTAGAACAAAATCCCTAAGGCAATTTCACTCTTCCCAGCAATTTTTTCCCATTGATTTCTTCTTGCATTCTTCTTCCGTGGCTAAGGAAGCACATGTCAAAAGCAATTGCAACACATTTGTAGAATTAATAATTGTCTGCCTTTTCAGAAAGCTTAATAGAATAGAGGATACTCTAAGATAGTTACATGAGAAGTGCAATACACATTCCTGTCATTTGCAAAGCTCTTTTTTGTGGTTAATT